TTCACCAGGTATCACACATCTGTTTCACCAGGTATCACACATCTGTTTCACCAGGTATCACACATCTGTTTCACCAGGTATCACACACCTGTCTCACCAGGTATCACACACCTGGCTCACTAGGTATCACACATCTGTCTCACCAGGTATCACACACCTGGCTCACTAGGTATCACACATCTGTCTCACCAGGTATCACACACCTGGCTCACTAGGTATCACACATCTGGCTCACCAGGTATCACACATCTGTTTCACCAGGTATCACACATCTGGCTCACCAGGTATCACACATCTGTTTCACCAGGTATTACACATCTGTCTCACCACGTATCACACTTGTGTCTCACCAGGTATCATACTTGTGTCTCACCAGGTATCAAGCGAGAAGGATGATCGTATTTTTTTAAGTATGATATCTTTTCAGATACCTTAGAATGGTGTTTTATTACCAATAAAGTTTTTTATAAAACGCTTCACTTCAACCCGTCACCAAGCATGATGTACAAACAACACCTCACTTCAAACCCTCACCCCACATGATATACAAAAAACATCTCATGTATTTAATAATTTAATTTTAGTTCCAATCCTAGTTGAAATCTAAAGTTAACGTGTCACAACTTTTGTTATGTTTTTTTTCCCTAATCCTAATTTACATAAAAGTTTTATGTCTTTGCCCAAGTTCTCTGGACGCTAACATCCTGGTTCATTTTCCAGCTTCCACGCGGTGGACACAGCAGTACAAACAAACAACTGGTGATTTGTATCGTTACTAACATTTGTATCACAAGCCAGCATTATTTGTAGATAAACTCCGTTCTCTGTGGAAATATAACGCGGCTTTCGTGTGCTCATTTATTTGTTCCCTTGGTAGGTGTTTTTCGATTGGTTTCCTCTCTGCTTGTGCAATTCATTTCAACCAATGACGATCTTTGATTCCAAACCTTTAATCATTGCGGATGAATATTCATCAAAAAATAAAAAATAATCGCTTTGATGAACAACTTCAGAAAAAAAAAACTGTTTATTTTAGTTTTTCGCGCCACCTAAACGAGGGTTTTATCCACTGCGGTTCTTTCTCAAAATTTCAAAAACCATATATATATATATATATATATAGCGGTATGATCAATAAGTGCGTGCTGAAGCATTTTGGTTCTATGAGGTTAAACAAGAAGAAAAAAAATAATAAAAATGTTGTTCGTTCCCTTTCAGACTGAGGGCGCTGACGGCAAGAGCTGGTGAAGGCGGCCCGGTGTTTTCCACGTTCAGCGAGTATGGAGGGTTAGCGGATCACGGGAGTATACTGAAAACAATGCCACGGAAGAGAGGCACTCAACACTACCCAGGGGGAAAGGCCCCCTCCTCCTTGTTTATACTGAAGGAGGATAACATCATCAGAAGATACACAAGGTTTATTATCGAGTGGCCATATCCTTTGTTGGTGAATTCAGGTATAAAGTTACCGGTGAATAGATAAGATTCCCCTAAATTCTGTTACGCTGACCCTTTCTATTCAATACTGCATAGCGTTCCAAAAATCTCCGCTGGTATTGAACTGCGTTTCGCCAACTTCTTTAATCTTTGCTCTTTAAAATCTACAAAGTTGTTTTTTATTTGGTTAAAAATTCTTTATGGTTTGCCTGGAGTTTTTTTTGGTAAGTAGCATTTTTTTTATTTATTTAGATTTTAAATTTGGTGTAAATATAAAAATATATTTAGGAGACTAATAACTGTTGTTAAACTTCGTTAACTAGATAACGTTTCAACTGAAACGACTGGATGAATTATTAACATTTAACATGTGAATAAAACAAAACTACCCTTCTGCAGTGCCTCAACATCTCCAATAACTCATTTTTACTTCGCACAATAACGTTTTTTTGTTTTTTTGTTAACATGAGAGACATTTGCAGGTGTTTGTTAGTGGACATGTTTGATAGTATTAAACATAGAAAGTACTCCTCCTGCAACACTGAAACATGACACGTAAAAAGCACAAACGAGTTGTGAAGCCCACGGCACCACGTATCCAAGGTGATATCCCATTTCAGAGCCTTAATCTACTACTTGTATCATCTTGACATAAGAAACACCAGATTTTATTGTTTCTCCATCAATAGTTCCTCACTTAATGATTCCTGCCCGAGGATTATGAACGTACTCACTGCATTACATCGTTTTAAAATAAAACTAGAAACAGAACTACCGGAAGAAATAAAACACCGTAAACGTAATGTATGCCGTTTCGAAACTTCTAGTTATTCAAAATGTAAAAGCCAATTGTGAACGTTGCAGGGGGAGTATTACCAATTGTTAACGTTGCAGGAGGAGTACTGCCAATTGTAAACGTTGCAAGAGGAGTACTGCCTATTGTGAACGTTTCAGGAGGAGTACTACCAATTGTGAACGTTGCAGGAGGAGTACTGCCAATTGTGAACGTTGCAGGGGGAGTATTACCATTTGTGAACGTTGCAAGGAGAGTACTGCTAATTGTGAACGTTGCAGGAGGAGTACTGTCAATTGTGAACGTTGCAGGGGGAGTATTACCAATTGTGAACGTTGCAGGAGGAGTATTACCAATTGTTAACTTGCAGGGAGTATTACCAATTGTGAACGTTGCAGGAGGAGTACTGCTAATTGTGAACGTTGCAGGAGGAGTACTACCAATTGTGAACGTTGCAGGAGGAGTAGTGCTAATTGTGAACGTTGCAGGAGGAGTACTACCAATTGTGAACGTTGCAGGAGGAGTACTACCAATTGTTAACGTTGCAGGAAAAGCATTACCAGTTGTTTACGTTGTAGGAGGAGTACTATCATTTGTGAACGTTGCAGGAGGAGTACTGCCAATTGTGAACGTTGCAGGAGTAGTGCTAATTGTGAACGTTGTAGGAGGAGTACTACCAATTGTGAACGTTGCAGGAGGAGTACTACCAATTGTGAACGTTGCAGGAGGAGTACTACCAACTGTGAACGTTGCAGTTGTACTACACACGATATCGGATTATTATGACGCGTAACATAATAATGGTGAATTAATTAAAGGGACACCTTTTTGTTGTTTACTTGAATATTTGGGACTCAGAATTATTGATAAGGTTTTAAAGAATGGATTCTGCTTTTCCTTTTTCCATCCTTTTTACCTTGAACGTCACAATTAAAACATATAGTACATGATATGGTTTTTCCCAGTTCGTCAAAGCACGTGTTAAAGAAAAACTATTGTCAAATTCTTGGAGTTTTCATCAATACCCTTTGAAGAGAGAAATAACGACGACAGTTAATACGCATGCTCTAAGTATAAATCTTTATATTACTCTAAGTTTATTTGTTGTGGATCGCGTATTTTATGAAATTAAAGTGTCACTTGCCATCATTCAAGAAAACAAATACTAATCAGATCTGGCGTTAAGTAATAATTGTTATTACAAACGACAGAAATATGGTCAACATTGAAAATGACAAATCAGTGCTTATAGGTTTCAGTTTTCTTATCTTTATAGGCCAATTTCTTGCATAGAATTTGCTTCATTAATACATAAGTTTCACTTTTTTTTTAGTTACTGTTCTATAGAATTAGCTTAACTTTCGATAATTTGTGGGTGTATGAATCTCAAAGGCAAATTTTAGTAAACATACCATGTTGAATAATAACAAGTGTTTTTTACGGTGGCTTTGAGAAAATCACACTTACAGATTACTGGTTTCAGAATTTTGACACTAGAGGGCGGGGTGAAATAAATTTTTAGCAAGCACTTGTAATTTCCAAATTAAATTATTTTCAGCTGTTTCTGTTTCGAACTCAAATGCAACGAATCGTTTGTTAGCAATGTATTTCAGTTATCACAGCAACTTTCATTACAGCTATGTGTATACTGGCCGACCAATGTATGCATGACTGGCGCCAAAGACTGATCCCTTGTATCGACGTTTGCAGCGTCTTCGATCGTCTGCTGACGTCAAACGCGCGCAACGCGATTCACGTCAGAGCTGGCTTGGTGGTATTGTGCATATGTTTAGTTTTTTTTTGAGGGGATGGGTGGGGGTGAAGAGTGGGGAGAGAGAATGAAATGACCATTGAGGTAATTAGTATTTGACTACATGGTAGACGTTTCTAAAGTTAATATTTGACTACATGTAGACGTTTCTAAAGTTAGTATTTAACTACATGGTAGACGTTTCTAAAGTTAGTATTTAACTACATGGTAGACGTTTCTAAAGTTAGTATTTAACTA